TTTCCCACGTGGATGCACCGATCCCAGGGCACCCTGGCGGAGAGAGGAGGAAACAGGCCCAGAGCAGCTCCCCCAGCCCCTTCTCCCCTCCCAGCCCCATCCCTGCACTTGTGGGTTGCAAAGGCAGCACAGAAGGGACAGAAGGAAGCAGAGGAAGAACACACAGGAATGTTTGAGTGTGTTAAAAAGCTGGAATAGAGCAGAGAACTGAAGGGCACAGAAGGGACAGAAGGAAGCAGAGGAAGAACACACAGGAATGTGTGAGTGTGTTAAAAAGCTGGAATAGAGCAGAGAACTGAAGGGCAAACAAGGCACTCAGGGAAGGCAGAGAGAGCACACCCAGAGCAGGCAGAAATAAAAAGATCCCCATCCTGGTCATGGCAGAGCTTTTCCCTCCTCTGGCCACAGGAGGTTCCTGAACAGGAGGTTCTGGCATCCAATCAACCTTCTCAATAAATGTCCCCTCCACCCCAGGGAAAACCATTCTCTTCTTCCCCAAACCTTACACTCCATTGAGACCTTAAATCCTCAGCAAATTTGGCTGCTACTTCCAGTCTTTCCTAATTCCCAGTCAAAACGGCCACCCTACAGTAACTGTCCACACCTGCAGCTCTCTCCAGGGTTTATCCATGGAATTATCAGTCTATGGGAGCTGCCAACAGCAGTTCCTGTGCAATGAGGGAATGAGGCAGGAAGGGCCACAATCTCCAAACACACATTCTTACTGTCCACTCTGTCCTACCTTCAGAACTTCAGCCCTCCTCTAATCCTTTAATTTAGCACACAAAACATGAACAGGTCTGAAAGAATGTCCCTAAGAGACATCTCCTCTCTCCTGAAGCACCATTCACATTTTGGTGGTTAACACAGTATCGTATTTCAAACCCTAGGAGAAACTTCTAGAACAGAATTCTCATTTGCAAGAGTTGGTTCACGTGACAGCAGCTGAATCTTTGAAAACACATGTCAGATGTAGCTTTAACAATTCTTATCACCTCAGCCATTCGTTGTAAGAAGGTTTCTGGTTGTGTCAGTTGATGAGGCCAACAGGCATTGACTTACCCACCACTTCATCCTCCGGCTGGAAAAAGGTCACCTTGCTCCCAACTCACCAGGAGAGGGGGGAAAGGAGAGAAGAGAAATGTTTATAGTGAAATGGAACGTGCACTTGAAAGCTCTGCTTCTCACTAGCTCAAAAAAACTACAAATACACACTGCTAGGGAAAATAAATAATTTATTAATTACACACACCCCACCCAAATTCAACCCAAACGTTGAATTCCCTAAACTTTGGCACCTCATCCACACACAGTCCCATGCAGGGACACAGGGGGGAGTCTGAGGGAGCCAGGCTGGAACTGCACCCACAGGTGGATCCCCAGGGCAGCAGATGCACTGTGAGAGAATTTCCTGCCATAAAGGTGTCCTGTACAAACAGGATTTACGTGTTCTGGATGGCCAGATCCAATTCCTGCTCCTAATTCCTGCTCCCCCTCCCCAGACAATGCCACTGACTCACCTTCCAGCACCACTCCAGAAATCTCTCGTCCCACAGGCACGAGTTCCTTCTTCAGCTTAATTTCTGACAGAAGCTAAATTAAAACAGGGGTTACAACACTTACTGAGGCTCTAAATGTGCATATTTACATCATCTTACAGTGTTTGATCATCCCAGGAAGGAGGCTGGGCCATTCCCAGAATGTTATCCAGGGAAAAAGGGACACACTTTCCTCAATTCACGTTAAACCTTGGCACTGATTTTCTGTATTTAAATTCAGAAGCATTTAAAAAATAAAAACACAGGGTTATTACCAGGCAAGACAACGTGGGACTGGGGAGTGCAGGGGAAGATAAGAGGGGTTTCCTGCAGGACAGCTGACCTGTCCCCATGAACGAGCACCCCAGTCACAGGTGCTTTTGATTTAAGCCATGCAGGAGCCCCCCAGCAATGCTGTGCCTCTGCACAGCCTCAGATGGCAGAGATGGGACTGGGCCAGTCCCCAGCCAAGGCCCTGGAGACCACAAACACCCCCAGCCTTCATCAAACCCCCGGGAAATACCTTTGTGTCCACCCAGCTCAGGGCACAGGCCCTCACTTGCACCTTCACCTCGTGGTCCCCAAGGGGAGGAAGGTTTTCCTAGGACAGATTTACAGATGTTACATTGCACAGTGAGCAGGAATGTGCTCCCAGGAGCCTCTCCAGACTCTCCCACAGCCCCTGCTCAGGCTGTTCTGCAAGCAGAACAAGAATGTTTCCTCATTGAAAAGGGATTTCCCTCCCCATTTTGAGTACATGTGTATCACTATTATTATTACTGTTCTATTACTGTAATTCTCACTATGATATTACCATTATTATCACTATTATATTCCTACTATTACTGCAAACTGGTCACCAGACCTCACAAAACCTCTGCAGACAGTGACATTACTTTTCTGTTGGGATTTTTTCCCCCTTCTCTGAGACTCAAATCCTGACAAACTCACTGAGGTCAATATTCTAACAGTCCAAATGGTGCCAAAGAAACAGTCCCACAAGTGGTGCCTTCCTCCCTTGCAAAAATGTTCAGCTAATGAGGCCTCCCCTTCCTGTTTCACCTTTTGGGTTTGGGATTGATACCAGAAATGATCTGAAGGAGTTCAGTGCTGCTCCTTTAAAGTCTTCAATGAGCCACGTTGAATTCTGTGGCTCCAGAGAGCTCCTGAAGAGCTGCCCCAGGCACTGGAGCACAGTCCTGTTCTTCCATGGTGGGTGTGTGCTGGAATTGTGATCCCAGTCTCCACTGAGAGCCAAGAACTCCCAGGAGGACAGGAAACACCAGCAGCCAACACTCCAAACCTGATCATTTCCCCAAGCTCTGTTTCTACTCTTCCAGTGACCAGAAAACCCAACCAGGAGATGTGGACACAGGGTGAGTTTTTCAGGCCTGCAGAGCTTGTTTTCAAAGCTTGGACAAGAAAATTGCAGAGAAATCCAGCACTTGGCAAGTGCTGCCTGACGATAAAATACACCTCTCCTGCCTTCAGTCCCCTGTCTGGGTGTGCAGGGATTCTACCAGTTCTTTTTCAAGCCTAGAGGAGACTGAAGTGCTTCAATTCCCTGGTGGCATTCAGCCAAACTCCCTCCTCCCCCTGCCTGATTAATGGAGCTGTTGTGATGGGAACTCACTCTTTCCTGGAACACAAAAGTCATTTCCTCTCCAGGTGAATTCTGCTGCCCAAACAAGGCCTTCATAGTGACCTGAACAAACACACAGAGACCAAACTGTGATGTCTGAATGTCCAGAGAGCAAACAGGTCATTAAAGCCTTATTAAACTAAATAAATCATTCCAAAAGAAAAACAGCAACTGTTTGCAGGCAATTCGAGTCTTTGTCATTCAGAAGTTTTAAACCAGATCAACAGATGAGGCAACATGTGCTGTCACCTGCAACAGGTTTTGTTAAATAACACAGCAAATCCTCAGGGCTGAGAATCCCAGAATCATGGAATTATTTGGGTTGGAAGGGACCTTAGAGCCCATCCAGTGCCACCCCTGCCATGGGCAGGGACACCTT